CTGATCTCAACTGTCTGGTGGATTGGTGTCGAGATAATGAAATGAATTTGAATGCTTCGAAATGTTTCTGTGTGCACTTCTCTAGGAAAAAAGTACTGACCAATTATAGGTATAAAATTGCGAGCGAAGTTTTGGAGGATACCGACATTGGGAAAGACTTGGGAGTGTGGTTGGATAGCAAATTAAGATTTAATATTCATATTGATAGGATTTTCTCTAGACGGTTTAAGAATCTTGGTTTAATTTTGCAGAATTGTAGGGATTTTAGGTCTCCTAAAACTAAGATTCTTTTGTTTAAATCCTTTGTACGCAGTGGTTTAGAGTACTGCAGTGTGGCCTGGAATCTATTTTACGAAGTATATAAAAAGAGATTGGAATGCATACAAAAGCGATTTCTATGGCACCTTACATACTCCTGTAATCTGGGTAGAACACTTCTCCATTATGAAGAAAGACTGAGTCATTTTAAAATTTGTTCTCTTTCGGACCGAAGACGCATGCTGGACTTATTATTTCTTTATAAACTAGCAAATGGCATCCTGGATACTCCTGAGTTAGTGCAAATTCTGACATTTTCTGCTCCATCAAAACTCCCTCGCTCCTCAAGATTTAATATTTTCGTGGAATCTTACTGCCGATCTAATCTTGGCCAAAATGCGCCTATAAATAGAATGATCAAGAGCTGAATAGCATGAGCAAGAGCAACGATTTGGACTTTATTGTAATTTGATTTTAATTGTGTTATTATTTCTATAAATTAATTTTATCTGTAATTTATTGTGACTAATTATTTTCGATTCATTTTTTTTATTTAGAGTTTTTAAGCTACTATTTTTTATTTATTAAAACTAAATTTTACACCAATCTATCCTTTTTATGTTGCGTTTATCATTTAGGAGGGTTTGGACCATAACCCACCACGCTGGTCCAGTGCGGGTTGGTGGGTGGTTTCGCCAGGGCCTCGTCTGTTATACAGCAGGACGCACCGCTTGCAGGGGAGGATGTCCCGAAAGATGTTGTGTAAGCCCCCTTGCGTCCCACGTAGTGTGGGACGCCCTGAGACAAGATGGGATGATGACATTAGTAGGGTGGCTGGCGTGAGTTGGATGAGAGTAGCAGAGGATCGGGAGCAGTGGCGTGCATTAGGAGAGACCTATGTCCAGCAGTGGACGAGCATGGGTCGATGATGATGATGATGATCCTTTTTATTCTGTATGGAGAATGACAAGGATACACTGTTGTGAAATTTAAGTTTAGATTTAGAGAGTCATGCCAGACTCGACACCATTATATACTTATGTCGAACATAGATTATATTGATTAAAATATAATATAGGTAGGTCCGAAACCCTGAAAAATACAAATTGAGTGACAAGACTGGCATTTTATATCTTCAATGTAGGTTAAAGGATGCTTATTCATTTTGATTTCATCGTCACACAATATTTCATTTCCTCGTACTTTATTGAAAGAAGTTTAAGTTTTGTCTAAAACACTTTTTAATAGACTATTCAGTACTTTATTAAATATATCTCAATATCAGCACCACCACCAGGCAGCTGTAGAAATAAAACATATTCTTTGCTTTAAAATTTAATATCTTAAATTTTCTTAAGAGCTGTGATTCTTTGGAGCAATAAGAAATGCTTTCGATGATAAACTCCTAATAGTTAGTTCAATATGCACCTACTGCTCTATAACACACAACACACAATCTAGCATTTCTCATCTCGTAAGTATGTAGAGTGGCACGGCTAAGTTTAGATTCTGTAAATTCAAAGTTAATACTTTTTTTTATTATTATAGTAAAGGAGCAGCCGACTCACCTGTTGTTGCTAATCGTAATAACAAACTCACTATGCCAAACTATACAAAAATAAGAATTTTAATAGGTAATTTATAATACGAATAAAACACAAGTTTGTATGGGAAATCAATTAAATCTAGCAGATGAAATCGCGGCCGCCCACTAGTTACTTAAGTGCGTATAATTATGATATGCATCCAGGAAGCCCAAAGTTAAGAACGAATGGGTAAATCTTTGAAAAGCGTTCTCCGCGCCACTTTCGTAGCGAAATTTCATATTGAGTTTTTAGAGAATTAAAAATTATTACAATATAGACGACGCAATGATTATTATGTAACATCTATAAAACATATAAATTAGTTTAAAATTTACAGACATATTTAATTATGATTTTTTCGTGTCCATGAATGTTACGAAATGAACTTGCCGCTACCAAAATAAAACTAGTGCCAACTCTGGTTTTGTACGGTTGAAAATGATTTGAACATTATACAATATATGCTATCAATATTAAATTAACTGCCGAAAACACTCTGTTTATCAGTTTCTGAAAAATGTTTACTACATATAACCATATAGTGTGTATATAGTAGAAACAGACAAGAGAAAAATCAATCACGAAAATTATGATATTCCACATATTTAGACATATAAACAGTCTCGATGACTTAAGTTATGGATAAAGTATGTCGTGAATTCCCAGAACGATTTTTTACTAGTATGACGTAACCACGAAAGTTGCTTCCTTATGGTTGTTAGATTTTATTGAAGAATAACTTACAGATATTTTATTTATAGCACAGTGAGGAGCCGTTCGTTCGTCATATGCAAAGTACTGAGTTTCCGCGTGGCTAAAACTTTTAGCTACATATCGGCACTACTCAAAGGGAAAGGTAAAGGTGAGCCGTTCTTAAACGGCTCACCCTCAGACACGCGCTCACAAAATTGCTAAAACGTGGCAAAATGACAAAATGCATTCTATTTTTTTTTTTATTATCCCACTATTTTTTGGCATTACTGAACATTGGATAAACACCATTATTTTGGCATAGGGGAGACCGGGGCTGAAAGTTCCCGGAGTAAATTGTTCCGACAGTTATAACTTTGTAAAGGAAAAAGTTGTCAATACACGTGAAGTTCGTTGTTTAAGCATTAGGTGATGAGGTGTGACCCTACACAACACACATAAAGCTTTGCAGACCAAAAAGTTATTAAAGGATTTTTCAAGCGGGTATTGTGTTACACCCGAAGAACAGCGTTTTTACTACCGATTCCGACCTATAAAAATTACTATCTACCCACATACAAAAAATACATAAATAAAAAATTCATCTGTAGATATTAACTAATCTTCGAAAATTTCCCGAAAAGTGTAATAACCTTAACGAACTGCGCTGATGAGGTAATCATGGACGCGGACTTTTTAGTCCGCCGAAACAGATCGTTTGCACATGCATCGAGTAACACATACGAGGGATTATAAGTATCGCGTTCAAAAGTCCCGCGAACAACGGAGGAAGCCAAGAGATCGGACTGGGCAAAAGTAGGCAGACGCGGAAGTCCCCGAAAAAAATAGAACTTACGTGACTAGGCGAAGCAATCAACAGCAATAGCAACGTACACAGCCAACTTTAGACCGCGTTACGCACTCGATCGAATTAAAGGGTCCCAGTATTATATTCTAAAACGCCTACTCTATTTCTTAAACTTCATGTTAATAACAACCACAACACAACATCATCTCAGAATATTTGCTTCCATAGCATGTGCTTCTCAAAAATTTCGGGAAACAAATGTTCACACATTGTGTGCGTCGAGTTCGTACCAAGTTCTCGGTGGATATTTTTTCACGATATAGGGACTTTTGGCGTCCGCGGAGAAAAGTCCTTTATCTGCGCAGACCATAAGTATTAATGAAATCGAAAGTGACATTGCTGGTGTAGCAGATGCCTATGGGCTACGGTGATCAATCAGAAGTGCTATTCTGTAAGAACAAACTCACTGTTTTCATACAAATTCGCGAATTGCAAATCACACCTCGGATATGGCGGTGAAGCTTAACAGAGTATGAAACTTGTGGGTTCCCGCGATTTCATCTGCTTGGTTTTATTGATTTTCTATACAAACGTGCACCCACTTTTCATTTACTTATAAAGGATGATTTCTGGGATAAAAACAATAATGTCATTTATCAGGGTCCAAACTATCACTATGCTAAATTTCATTTAATTCAGCTCAACGGTTTAGGCAGGAAAAGGTAACAGACAGGCACACTTTCACAATTAAACTATTAAGTATGGATGATGCAGTGTGAACGTACATCGATCCTTTTATCTGCTCCTACAGTAACGACCCTGCCGTGTGTAAATAAAGTCCACTTGCGAAGATACGGCACTAAAATGTGTACTCCAGCCATCCTAATCTTGCAGGCAAACCCAATGTCTTACCACGATAATATGGATGCAGCACGCTTTAGGCGCTTTTTGGAGTATAAGCAGTTTAGTGAAATTTACCAAAGCATATGAACCAATAATAATAAAAACATTTAAAAACTATTCAATATTATTTAATTGTAATCACGATGACGCTAAAAGAATTGGTGAGTCACCCTAATAACTTTGACAGCCCAATTAATTCATTATTTAGCCTGTATGTAACCTGCGCTAAACTGAACTTTTCTAGTATGAAAATTTCCTTCAGATATAGGAATATATAAAAAATACCCTATAAAAGTAATACGAAGTTTATAAATAGTAGGTCTGTAAGCTAAGTTGTAAGGATTGTAAAGAAAATCTATAAATAATATAGGTTACAATAGGGTCTTTACTTACATAGCTTAAGATAAAAAGTTATATTTGTGTTGAGAAATTATGTTTACCCTCTGGTTGACTTGTTGGTGTCAACTGATATGGTTTCACTGATTATACCTGTTATCATTTCACTAATATTATTTTTATTCTTTTATAATTTATCTTCCCTTATTAGTACAGCACACATGATGAATACTATATATCTACATAATTGTACACAATTAATCAATGTTACTCTTTGTAATAATTATATAGACTTTAAGAAGGAAATGAAGCTGAATATTTTTTATTCATAATCAATTCAGTAGATATTTGTTTTGTATTAATAAATACACTGCACTTTGGCCTTTTTATAATTTTTTCCGAATTTTCTTTTATTTCAGCGAACTGAAGGAAAGTGTGTTTTCTAAGCTGGACCTGGTGGACTACTTCAGCTTGGCTGACAACTCACTACCCGACATGCCACGGCATGTTTTACGTCATTTACCTCACGTGAAGACTCTAGACCTCTGCAGAAACAAAATAACGAGTCTCTCTGAAGACGATTTTAGAGTGAGTGTAAAAATGTAAAATCTTGTGGTTTCGTTAACACTCATCATTAGAAATCGGATGCCTATATTTACCTAAAGTATTTTTGTTAACAAATTATGGAAGCGGCTTCTTAGGATTTTTTTATTTAAAAGAAAGTCCCGAGATTCCGGGATGGCATAACTAATCGGATGTATATTTACTTAAATTTTAACAAATTATGGAAGCGCATTCTTAGAATTTTTTATTTAAAAGAAAATCCCGAGATTCCAGGATCGCATTCCTAATCGATGTATATTTACTTAAATTTTAACATATTATGGAAGTGGCTTCTTAGGATATTTTTATTTAAAAGAAAATCCCGATATTCCGGGATGGCATAACTAATCGGAAGTATATTATCGCCACACAAAATCTGCTCAAGGTTGCTGCTCACAAATCTGCACGATATAGGGGATGTTTCAGGTTCAATGCAGCAAGGATTTGGAATGACCTACCTCCACCCCTTCGTTGTAAAATGAATACATCAAAATTCAAAAAATACTACAAAGCAGCTTTACTTCATAAACAACTTGCTGCGGAAAACCTGAAGCATCCTTATCATAGCCACTTGCCGCTCTTTTTTGTTTTGACTAAGGCCTAGCCAGTGACGCATGGAAGGTACGAGTAGGGCGTGTACATCTATAGCAAGTAGGAGGATACGTTTATACGTTTATGCACGAAACATGTTCCAATATTTATTATAATCAAATAATGGATAATTCGAGGCTCTATATACATATTATTAATTTTAAGTAAAATTTGTTAAGGGGTGGCTGAAAAACAGCGTTGGTTCAGGTCTAGGCTTGACCAACATTGGCTGAGCCATTTCCTATTGTCTTATTTTTAACGAAATTTTATTATTTAAATATCTGTTAACATGTAAAAAAAGACAATAAATTATTATTATTATTATTATATTTACTTAAAATTCTCATTCGAGTTTCTGTGTATGTAAGGTGTAAGAGAAAATGGTGGTGTGGTTAAAATAATTGAATATAAATTTATAATTATGGACATCTTACATAATATTTTTATGTTATACACACAGGGTAACTGTCATTTGTGTCAATCTGGGTTTATTAGATTTCACGGAGTAAACACTTAAATTGGAATTTTTCGATAAATAAGTGCTTTCCATTACATTTAACATCTCAACTTTAGGTAAATATGCATCGGATTATCCGATCTCTACTCATCATTGTCAAATAAATGGAACACCTGTAACAATAAAATTTATAATCTACTCGTTATGCTTGCATGATTTAGTAGATTTGTTAGAAATACTTTTGCAACTCATAATATTGTTTTGCTTACGAATCTCGACATATTTTGTTTATTTATAACCCTCCTCTTTTCGCTTCTATGTGGATAATTTCTGTGAATTTCTTCATGTTCATAAGTAATAAATAATGTAAAAAATTTAATTTAATTAAAATCTTTTGTGAAAATTTTTCTTACTGACAGTGAAAAATGAAAACATTAAGAAATATGGTTTTGCTTACTATTTGCAATAGATTAAGAATTCTGAAACAATAAAATAATAATCGGTAGTACATATAAATATTCAATAATATGTTAACTAATTAACATTTTTTCTATTCCTTTAGGATATCCAGGAGCTCGAGCATCTATTGGTTGCTGATAACCAAATATCGAAGATAGAGAGAGACGCTGTACCGAAGGCTTTGAAGCACATACACTTGGGCATCAACAAGCTCACGTCACTAAATGGAGCCCTGCGGGATCTGGACGACCTCGAATGGATATTCATCAATGCCAACAACCTTAAATCTATAGATAACGAGTTGCCTATTGTAAGTTATACCAAAATTTATCTATAACTAGGTAAAAATATAATGCGTAATGCAAGAGATTTTTTTTAATTTGATCAATAAAAAAGTTCCGAGGGCTAGGATTCGAACCAATACCGCTCATATAGCACGTCAGATTGTTGAAGTCTGAAATTTTTAATAACAATCAAGCATGTCCCAACTTTCTAAAGATAAATGAAAATAATTGTGGTAATGTGATAAAAGTTTCACTTTAATTATATCGATTTAATAGAATCAATCTATATAATTGGTATGGATTGCATGTAATAAATATATTTGTTATTATGTTATTATTATCAATAATATTTGTTTTGTCATTTACAGAAAGCTAAAAGAATTACACTTATACATGCCGCACATAATGAATTACAAAATTTGCCAAAAGATATGAAGCAAATGCCTTCCTTGGAATCACTTTATTTTTATGGGAATAAAATAAAATCTTTGGATGGAGCTCTTCAGAAATCAAAGAAACTATTAAGAATAGGCGTTTCATTTAACAAAATCGAATACGTAAGTTCAGTTTTTTTTTAATAATTAATTTGATTTAAAAAGCTTCTACACTCTTTTACTTAAATTATGTGTTTCAACAGTTAGCTGAAGATGAATTCATTGAAGCTGAAAAATTAGCGGACTTGGATATAGCTTATAACCAACTAAAATCTTTAAATGGATCTTTGAGAAGCTTGAAATCACTCCGATATTTGAATTTAACCCACAACTGTCTCACAGAGTTCTCCTTACAAGAAATAAAGGGGCTGAAACGGTTATCTGTAATAGATTTGTCCCATAACAAAATTAGTCAAATTACGGGCAATATGGAGGTACGTTTACTAATTAACAGTGTAACAAATAAATAGCTAACAGTCGCACTCAGAGAAGTCAATTACCTTCTAAGTTTGACTTAAGTTGATGCTGTCACTTTCTTTGTAATAACAATAGAAAGTCGTGTTCTTTACATGTGATATATTGAAGCATTAAATTAAATAATAAAACACTGTTTCAACGGGTTATAAATTCTTTTTTTAATACCTTTATACACATCTCTACATTCTCAAGAGTAGTAGAAATATGTATTTGAATTAAAAACGCATTTTAAACCCGTTGAAAGTGTTTTATTTTGGTAATAAGTGGTGTGCTTGAAAACATAATTAAACATTAAATATGTTTAACATTTATTAAACATATTTAATAAATAAATAGCATTTAATTAATTTGACGTTTCTGAGTACGGCTATAAGTTACTAAAATATCGAAAAGACGGCAACAGAGTTACACGATATCAATTTACACCATCCGATTTTACAGAATCTTGTGGATGTTGAAACGCGTGTTCTCGAACTACGATTGGAACATAACTATCTGCTGAATTTGGGAGGAGCACTAATGGGTCTTCATGGTTTATTGCGGCTAAACCTCAGTCACAACCAACTACAAAATATATCTCCAGATGATCTCATAGGTCTTGAAGAATTAAAAGTACTTGACCTATCTCACAATAATATTCTGACATTGAAAGAAACATCGAAGGTTTGTTTAAAGTATTTCGTACCTAAAAGCGGCGTCACTTTATAGTATTATATAAATCAATTAAATACCTATATTTATTATAGTTTGCGAGCTATTGCGAATATTTTGATCACAAATAAAACCTGTTTTGTGTGCAAATGCGAAAGTATTTCCAGTAAAAGTTTATTTTTAGGCATGGAAACATTTTGATTTTTTTTCAGACGTTTTTGCCTTCTCTTGAGGAACTTTTGGCACATCATAACAATATTACGGCGCTGGATAAAGATTTCCACGGGCTACCATCACTCTGCATGGCTGATCTCTCCTATAATCAAATCCAGACTGTTAACTATGATCTGGTGACGAAGTCAAGATGTACAATAAACGGAGTTCCGAGCACATTGAAGATTTATCTTCAAGGTCAGTTTTGTGATATTTCACTGGCTATTGTAATAATATAAATTGCAAATTGTTAGTTAAGTATGTTATGATAAATAGACAAACAGAAATTGAAACTTTAATTTTATTTCTACAAATGAAGAATCTGTAATGAAGTATATAAGGAATACAGACTTAACGAAGAAATAGCATGCTCATTGAGAAGTTTGCAATTTCACATTAATTAAAATTATTCATTTGGTACTGTATTTTAAATGCTATTATTAAGATTTTCAATTTTATTTATGATATTTTAACAGTAGGTATGCAAATATTTAAGATATCTTTAATGCATAGCGATAGTTTTTAAATTGCTTTGATTTTTGTGCAATGCGAATTTTATTTTGCATAGTGATACAAAAAAGATTTTTTTTTGACAATAATATGTAAATGCTTACTTACCTTTAAATGTGTGTTACCTTTAAACTCGGGGGCCTAAGTTGGACCCGCAGTGATACAGCATCGAAATCGACAAAAAACAGTAACATAACAATACGTTATAAATAATTAGGCGTTTACTTTTTATTTGTTTTCATTAACTGTATAGCTACTACATAATGTCTCACGAGACGACACTCAAGTGCCCAATACGAGACGAGTTTACCTTGCTTACACTCGGTCTCGGCCTGTTTTGGGGTGTCTCGGCGAGTATGCACAGCGGGAATTATTATTAAGTTCGTTTAAGTAAAAGTAGAAAAGTTTAAATCGATAGACGTATACGTATAAACGCGAGCGTATTCGCTCACCGGGCCTTATCATATTGTCGGATTGCGAGCGTTTTCAAGGCGGGGTGGACGCATACAAGGTGGAAACTCGCCTAAGGTAGAAACATTTTGTGGAGGATACCACCTTAACCGTAGCGAATACGCTGTGGTCACGCAATGTTTTTGCAGCGAATAGTACCTTGGACGCCATTATGTACAGTCTCATATGGAAGCCTTTATAACCCTTTCTTCAGGTGACAACGAAAGTCTTAAATGTGTACCTTTATTTGTTATATCAGTTTGAATCAAGTATAACAACTCATAAAATGTAGGTCTTGCCATTCGTAGGCAGGAACGAAATTGTTTTAGAAAATTTTTGATTCTTTTGCAAACAGCACATAGTAGTCGCCCTCTTTTAGACGATCGGTTTGATAACGGATCCTCCCAAAGTCACCGATGTATTTCGTACGTATCTGTGTACATTTCTTGAGTCGAAGTTATTAAGCTTACAGCAGTGTTTCCTCCTCGAAATCCATTTTGTTTCTAAGTGTATCGCTATAGGTACGCCACGCACAGGTGGACAACGGAAACGTTGCGTGTATGCGCTGCGCTCACGCTCCGCGTAAAAAAACGCCCGCAATCCGTAGGTGTGATAAGTCTAATCTCAAATAAAAAAAATATAAAGTATTATAAAGTTATCGTAGAATCACTACCTACAGTTACAAATTTACGAATGTTTATTTTCAGATAATCCAGTTCTTTGCGATGATCGGTTATTTGAGCTGATGACTGTGCTGGAGAGTTTAAACGCCCGAGTGAGCGGAGTATCTACCTGCGTCGCCACGCAGACTTCAGCGCCGGTGCTTACGCGAGCCCTCAACGATATTGTGCCTCAAAAGGAGGCCGTGCCTATCTTTATGGTTGCCCACGTGGAAGCCAGGGAGCTCGAAGTGTCACCTGATATAATCGAGCGCAATCCGATAGCACCCGCCTTACCTCTCACATACCAGCGCGTGGGTGCTATAGTAGGGCACGTTTTGCCAGAGCGTGACGGAGGGCTGCCCGTCGTAGTCGAACCTCCGGTGACGCTGCCTCCGTCGAGCACTAACGTGGTGGTCAAGTGGCCCGATGAACGGAGAGTCGAGGAACACGCCCACCCTCTCGCTGATCACTTGCGCCTGCGCGAACTCGACGCCTCCTCGCAGTGAGACTCCTCCACATGGCGGTGCAGCACACGCCGACGCGATACCATACAACTGAGTGTCACGTCCTATGATATAAACTGCCGCTGATCTACCGCAGAAGAGCGTCTTTTCATTCGATTGGATGATTTAAATTGTTTCCCAACTCAGTTCCCATATCAATTAGATCCGCTATGTATGTAAATAGGAGTCTTAAGTGATCCACTGTAAATTATGAACGTCGAGAAATGTGTATGTGCTTTGGTATATTTAAATACCTAAATAAATGTTTTATAGTTGCTGAATGTGTAGGATTAAAGAAGCTGTTAGTTGAGTGAATGTGTTAGACGACGTCTCTTACCTTTTCAAGAAGCAAACTTATCTAAGTGGGTTTTCTGAATAACAAAATTATAACTAGTGTAAATTTTTCTTACGTAAATTATTCAAATCTACATAAATTGTCACTATAATACAGAAAGTATATTAATAGAACTACCGAGATACTACTTTTAAGTTAATAGATATGTAGGAAATTTTATATCGCCTATTCTTCTATTTTGTAATGTTAACAAATAATAAAAATATATTTTTAAATTACAACTAATCCCTTCGACACGTCTTGAACTTGTGATAATTCAAAATATTAAGCCATTTACTTGTAATAACTGTATTGCATTATTTCATATTCATTATGATAAATCCTTAATTTTTCTGGACTGTCTTTAAATTTACTTAGATTTAGTTATTAAGTTTAGTATAATACGTTAGTTGATCAATCGACATTATAGCTGATCTTTGTTTATAGCTTTAGTCCATGTAAGGAGATGATACGTAAAAATATTATAGTTGTTGTTTCGATTAAATTACATTTTATAAACACGTGCATTAATGTTTTACCCAGTCAAGTTTTAAGGTTTCAGCTACAGATAGAAACCTTGCCTATAGAGTACCTACATTAAAAGGAGAACCTTAAATTAGGCCATACAGTCTGAAACACTGTATCACTCCTTACCAAGAATTAAAAAAAAAATCATAGGAACCTCGTAACGTATTCCTCAAACCGGCAAGCTATCTGTGTGTCAACTTTCATCCAAATTTTATGAGCCATTTTTGCGTGATTGAGCAACAAACATACATTCCATCCATACTCCATAATTCCATATTAATACTAATATTATAAAATATGCGAAAGTGTGTCTGTCTTTTCAACCGACGAAAAAAAACGGATCAATACCTCTAGCACGAACCATCAATTGTCAATGTCAAATTTTGTATGGAAACTTGAACAGCAGCGGCACAAAGTACGAGGACTAAAAATCAGTACACATTTGACAATAACATTTCGAACTCGCAAACGATACGAATTCGATATTGGTTCGTGCTACGGGTATATCATGACAGTTGAAGCGTATATTTTTTTTATGTATGATCGACCACACATAACTTTTTCCAGAAAAGTCTGATTTTGATATTTTTTGTTTATTGGAAAGGATAAACTCCGAAGTAGGTCCCATATAAATTTAGAAAACAAAACTTCATGTAAAGAGGAGGTGAATTTTTTTCATCATTTACTCTACTCCATTGTGGGGTATCGTTGAATAGGTCCTTTGAAAGGTCTGAGGGGTTGCTAAAAGTATTTTTGGATATATTGATCTGTTTGTAAAATATTAAACCGTAAAGTGCAAATTTTTGTTCGAGTAAGTCCCCGCCCCTCTGTAAGCTAATAGTTTAGCTTACAGAAAACGGCTTGAAAGTCTGAAAAAATGAAATTTTAAAGAAATAATGACTGTTAAGAATGATCCGTTAGTTTAGGAGTAAGTAAATATTTCATTAATGTCGATCAACTTAGATATTAAAATTTTTAACTATAAAAAAATATTTAAACCAACACATTAAAAGTAACTTATATGAAATAGTCAGACTCACGCACGAAGGGTTCCGTGCCATTATCTATACAAACATTGGAATACAATTATAATATCGAGCAAAAAACGGCAAAAAATCACGTCTGTTGTATGGGAGCACCCCTTAAATATTTATTTTATTTATTCAAAATTGGCCCCACGTTGGGCGCCAATTTTGTTGTGTAGCAACAAAATAAAACTAGATAGGAAGGAAGGAAAAATCAAAAGAACAGTATAGGAATATATATTTACAAGATAAAGTAGTATTTACAGATTATTAAAAAAAAATATGGAATGTGTGTGTAGTGTGGGTTGTGAAGTGGGCGTGGGTCGTCGGCGATCTTCAGGGGCGGCTTGAACGGTAGGGCGTGGGTCGTCGGCGATCTTCAGGGGCGGCTTGAACAGTAGGTCGTGCTACAGGTAGATGGACGGCGCTCCTTGGAGGCAGAGGCGGGCGTTGAAGAAACGGCAGGAGTCGGTAGAAGGCGGGCTGAAGCAGCTGGAGGCTGGCCGAAGAAGCTGGAGTCCAGGCGCAGTCCCACCGATGAGGTTGCGAGAACGTGTATAGTAGTATAGTATTGGAGTTAGGAAGTTGTTTAAAGAGCCAATAGGTGCTAAAAAGCTTTGAGGTCTTTCTTGAGTCCCGGGGCAGTCGGCCCCGGGACAAGGCCTTTTATTAATTTAGAGCTCGGTAGCGAGCTTTCAAAAGTTGATTAGGCAACTTTTGCCGTAGAATTGAATGAATGAACAGGGAGACTCGGCCTTTTATAGGTCCGGAACCATTTGAATTTAGACACGGTTCGAATCGAGCCAAAAAGAATCAAAGTAAGTGGTCTGTGGAGGTTGAATAGTCATAGACGTAGTTGGAGAGAGTATCCGTGTCATGGGTAGCCATGGCAACGGATAAAAAACATTAGGTTGTCATAAAATGTCAATAAAATAAATAAATTAAAAATAGATAAAATCAAAGCATAATTAGTGAAAACAAGTAAATAACAGAATAAAGAGAAATGCCGGTAAGTGTCCAGCACTCTGGAATAGTGATTTTCAGTACAGAAGAAATTATTATACGTATTTACAAAATGATGAATAGTGTGTGATATTTTTGAAATTATGTGTTTTCAGGAATAAATGATAAAATATATGATGATGCCTGATGAATATCGATGATGTTATATGATAAAATGTGCGGAATGGAACCTATGATAATCGAAACCATGAGTCGAAACCATATTAAGGTACGTTACACAATATTTCAGTGATGCACGCTCGTCGCTCTACCACCCCCTATAACTTCACACATATTCAGTGTTGGTGTAATATCACAATATTTCAGTGATGCACCCTTGTCGCTCTACCACCCCCTATAACTTCACACATATTCACTGTTGGTGTAGTATCACAATATTTCAGTGATGCACCCTCGTCGCTCTACCACTCCCTATAACTTCACACATATTCAGTGTTGGTGTAATATCACAATATTTCAGTGATGCACCCTCGTCGCTCTCTCTCCTGCGCCGTAAGGAACTTCGTCGCGCCTGCGCACGTCTCATTTAACGGTTTTATTCCACGCATTTTTTCTTGCGATTTTACTATCACATTTTTTTCAGTTCTTTCGCGCAGCAAAATCCCTATCCCCTCCAAGCCTGCCGTAAGGAACTTTCGTTCCAATAAGAACAGGAGCTGGGGTTTAAAACAAATATATAAAAAAAAACGTGTGGCACTCGGGGACTGCCGCGGTAAAGCTATTCATAGCATTTTTTGTCAATTTATGCAATTATAATTATTTATTTATGCAGTTTTTTCTTTGATATTAATTCATGTTAGACTTTTTGAGCGTGGTGACCGATAAGATTTTTTTTTATTTTATTGAAATAATGAAAAGTTAATATTGTTTAAAATATTTTTATAATCTTACATGCGAGCATCGTACAGTCGTACCATATACATGCCCGTTAAGGTTCAACTAGTCGCGGGCTCGAACTCACTCGTGGATGCGGCCAAAAAGCACGCTGTCTCACCTAGCATTATGTCTAAAAGAGATAGAATCAGTTATGAGCAGTTAGCAGCTAGTCTACACTCATACGTCTAGTCGCACGCACACAAACACAGTGCCGAAGTCTGTCGAAATGAAACGACGTTAGACGGCTTTCAACGCCGCACCGCTGTGCCGGTCGGAATGGGGGATGTTAAAAGAAAGAAAGAAAGAAAATATTTTTTATAAACCCTTAAAAAATACAACATGTTAAAAGGAACTCATACAGTAAGGGCTAACCAGGACCCTGCCTCAGCGTTAGGTGATACGACATTGTGTCGCGCCAACGCTGATATTCTGGCAGGGCTTGCTTGAAGTTATATAAGCTGGCGGTTAGCGCCCGAGGCGCTCGTTAATGTAGACCCGAGCGCCGCCCCCCACGGCGGTGGACGGAGGGCCACCCTCATCAGCGGAGTCCGGAGCGCCGTCCTCCGAATCCGTGACCCTCCGCAACAGTGACCCTGCGGCGCACACGCACGACTGTCAAGAGGTCGTCGCGCAGCTGTCGGCACGCCAGGCGCATACCACACGGCGCGGCCGGCCTCGCGCTTAGGCGAGCGGCGCGCCCACACGCTCCGCGAACACCAAGCCTGTCGAGAGTCACTCCCAGCCGCACGGCCAGCATGGTGACGCTCTGCTCCACGCTGTCGCCCCTCTCTTCGGACAACCCGCAGATCTCCAGGTCGGACATCAACGCCTCCTGATCGCGGTCGTTAACCTGGGCGCGCAGCTCGGATATGGTGCACTCCAAGTCCATCCTACCAGTTGCATCAGTATCCACTTGACGCTGCTCCAACACCGCAACTTTCTACTCGAAGGAGTCAAGTCGAGCGGTAAAAGAACTGCGGAAGGCCGCCATCTCTGAGCGGAATTCCCTCGTCTCCTTCATACAGTCGGCCAGCATACTTTTTATATCACTGGTGTGATTATTTCTGGCGGCGTTCTCCTTGGCCTTACCCTGGACCTCATCTTCCTTTGGAGAGCCACTGGCCAGGTCGACAGGTTCCCGTACGGCAACCGGTTTTTCGGGCTCGGAAGATTCGCTGATACCATTTACAGGCGTAACTGTCACCCCTGCGTGTGCTTTTCTTGCAGTTAGGGCATATCCAGTCCTTGCTGACACTCGACTTTTCCGGGATGGTGAGGCAGGCCTTATTATATTTTATTGGGTAAGCACAGCAAACAACAGCATTGCCCGGCGCCAAAAAACTTTCACAAGCTCCACAGTTTACTATCTTTAGTCCAAAATTTTTAATTATAATTTTATTATATAGTCTAAATAAAAGGGAGACAAATAAAAATAAGAACAGGTGCTGGGGTCTAAAACAAATATATAAAAAAAAATGAAAAAAACAATAACTAAAAATAAAAAATACTAGTGCGAGATTTGAACCGACGACCGCGGTGATGCGTCGAACGTTAGTCCCGTGGCAAAAATTTAACACACTGTGCCGTTTAGATTGACATTAGAATAGCGAAAATTGTGTTCTATTGGTATATGCACTCTCGCAAGGTTTTTTCATTACAGAATTTTTTGATTCGGTCCCCGCGTTCAAAGCCCGCGATAAAATCTATACAATAGCTTAAAAAATGAAAAAAATAATAACTAAAAATATAAAATACGAGTGCGAGATTTGAACAGACGACCGCGGTGATGCGTCGAACGTTAGTCCCGTGGCAAAAATTTAAAACACACTGCGCCGTTTACATTGATATTAGAATGACGAAAATTGTGTTCTATTGGTATATGCACTCTCGCAAAGTTTTTTCGTTACAGAAATTTTTGATTCGGTCCCCGCGTTCAAAGCCCACGATAAAAGCTATACAATAGCTTAAAAAAAGAGAGCGAGCGAGCTTCAATATTTGGCTGTTGATGCGTTCAGAGCGTTCGACCTTATTAACAGACAATAATTGATAT